AATCAAGCATGCTAAGCATCACTATAGGACAAAGACATTATAACAATGTTGAAATCTCAAAATCTACCATTTATTTGCAACACACGTCCAAATATAATAAAAGGAGAAAAGAAAAACAAAGAACTTGGGGGACTAGATCAAAACAAAAGAAAAATGGACAGAAATAAAAAGAAGATAGACCACAATGGTAAAGTGTCTTACCAAACAAAATCAATCCTATGTGTTAAATCATGTGTTACAAGTTTACCAGCACACTAATTACACTTTAAAAATATGAAAAGTCAAAAATTACATCTTAAAACACAATATAAATTAACAAAAATTAGAAACTTAATTTATAATTGATTAGTACCTACGAGAAAAGTTAATAATATCATATCCTAATATCTTTGATTTTCGAAATCACAACCCAAATTAATTTCAATTTTTAGTATCCGCAACTCTAAAAATAAAATTTTATAATTCTTTTCAAATCAAATCATTTTAATTTTATAAAATCAAATTTTTAAACACAAACTTTTCTTAACTAGCATTATATTGAAATTGAGTTAGTATTAAGTTTGTTTTGATACTTAAATTTAATTTTTTTTTTCTATTTTACTACTAATTTTGGTATTCTTTTCAAAAACATTAACACACTCCCATTCAATGTCAATCACATGCAGCGTATCATATTGATACATAGGATAACATTTTTTTGACCAAATGAAAGCTATATATGAAGGCCATGTGCCCCCAGGTAACATTTAGAACCTCATTTCATTATATTCACTCTACATTGATCCTTCGAGTTCCACCCGACGATTGACTCCTGTAGTCAGATTATGGATTTTCCTTCAATAATAATTAAATTTCTCATTAGAATATTAAAAATAATATCTTTTTTAGAAATATTAATTTGTGAATAAGTCAAAATAGTAACTTCCATTTTATTTTATTTTTTACTTTAATAGATATAAATAAAACTTTCCTATAATAATTAATTACAAATTTTATTTTTAAACAGAAATCTTATTTCTACGAATAAGATTCTTAGGAAATTAATTTAGTTTAAAATGAAAGTTGATACTCTTTACCAAATATCAATATCATTGACCACTAGGGTTAGCTTAGTGGTTGGGTAGAGAGGAGTTAGGATAGTTAAAAACATGAGGACCTAGGTTCAATCTTTATTGCCACCATTGTAATCTTTCCCATTTTTACAAAAAAAATATCAATATCACCTTAAGTTATTTTCCAACTAATCTTCAAAATTATTAGAGTAAAATTGATCTCTTTCAATAAAATATTTTTCATAACTAGGAAAAAGATCAAACCATAATAAGTAATACACATAAATTTTTTAGCCTTGCCCTTACTGGATGTCCAACGATGCTAATTTAGATAGAGCAAGACGAAAGGAAATTCGACTAAGAAATATAGTTTCGACGTAACTAAAGCAGAAAAGATATTTGATATCTTACTAAAAGATAAACAAATTGTACTCCCAGAAAATCATAAGATCCCATC